GGGGGGGGGTGGTGCAGGTAGGTGGGAGGGAGGTGGTGGAGGTGGTGGGAGGTGGAGGTGGGAGGTGGGAGGTGGAAGGTGGTGGGGGTTGGAGGGTGGAGGTGGAGGGGAGGTGGGAGGGGGGGAGGTGGTGGTAGGAGGAGGTGGTGAGGTGTGGGAGGGGGACGGGGGGGACGTGGTGGTGGAGGTGGAGGTGGGGAGGTGGTGAGGTGGGAGGTAGGAGGTGGTGAGGTGGGAGGTGGTGGTGGGAGGTTGGTGGTGAGGTGGGAGGTGGTGGAGGTGGAGGAGGTGGAGTGGTGGAGGTGGTGAGTGGAGGGGTGGGGTAAGGAGGTGGAGGTGGTGAGGTGGTGGGAGGTGGTGGAGGTGGTGAGGTAGTGAGGGGGAGGTGAGGTAGGAGGTGGTGGAGGTGGAGGTGGGAGGGGGGGGGGAGGTGGTGGGAGGTGGGACGGGGGGAGGGGTGGGTGAGGGGAGTGGGGAGGTGGAGGTGAGGTGGGAGGTGGTGGTAGGAGGGGGAGGGGGAGGTAGGAGGTAGTGAGTGGTGAGGTGGAGAAGGAGGTGTGAGGTGGGGTGGGAGTGGGAGGTGGTGAGTGGGACGAGGTGGAGGTGGAGTGGAGGTGGTGGGGAGTAAGGAGTGGGTGCTGGAGGTGGTGGAGGTGGTGGAGGTGGGGAGGTGTGAGGTGGGGAGGTGGTAGGGGAGTTGGTGGTGAGGGGTGGGGAGGTGGGAGTGCTGGAGGGTGGAGGTGGTGGGAGGTGGGGTGGGAGGGTGAGGGGAGGTAGGAGGTGGAGGTGGGGTGCTGGAGGTGGAGGAGGTGGGAGGTGGGGTTGGTGGGACGGGGGGTGAGGTGGGAGGTGGGAGGTGGTGGAGGTGCTGGAGGGGAGGTGAAGGTGGTGATGGTGGGAGGTAGGAGGTGGGAGGTGGTGGGAGGTAGGAGGTAGAGGTGGGAGGTGGTAGGTGGAGGTGGTGGAGGTGGGAGGTAGGAGGTGGTGGTGGAGGTGGGAGGTGGAGGTGCTGGAGGTGCTGGAGGTGGAGGAGGTGGAGGTGGACGGGGGAGGTGGGGTGGTGGGAGGTGGTGGGAGGTGGAGGTGGGAGTGGGGTGCTGGATGTGGAGGAGGTGGGAGGTGGTGAGGTGGGGTGGTGGAGGTGGTGAGGGGGTGAGGTGGTGTGGTGAGGGGGTGAGGTGGGGTGCTGGAGGTGGTGGTGGTGGGAGTTGGGGGAGGGGAGGATGGTGTGGGAGGTGGATGGTGGGTGGAGTGGGGTGGTGGAGGTGGGAGGTGGGGTGGTGGGGGGGAGGTGGGAGGTGGAGGTGGGAGGTGGGGAGGTGGGTGGAGGTGGGAGGTGGAGTGAATGAAGTGGGGAGGAGGGTGGAGGTGGACAGGAGGTGGGGAGGTGGGAGGTGGTGGAGTGGTGTAGGTGGTGGTGAGGTGGGAGGTGGAGGTGGAGGGTGGGAGGGGGGGACGTGGTGGGAGGTGGACGGAGGAGGTGTGTGAGGGGGTTGAGGTGGGAGGTGGTGGAGGTGGAGGTGGGGTGGGTGGTGGTGGAGGTGAGGAGGTGGGAGGTGGGAGGTGGTGAGGTGGAGGAGGTGGGAGGTGGGGAGGTGGTGAGGTGGTGGGAGGTGAATGTGAAGGTGAATGGAAGGTGAGGAGGAAGGTGGTGAGGTGGAGGTGGAGTGGAGGTGGGAGGTGGGAGTGGGAGGTGGAGGTGGTGAGGTGAAGGGAGGGGTGAGGTGGTGGAGGTGGAGGTGGGAGGTGGGACGTGTGTGTGGTGGGAGGTGGGATGACGTCGTGGTGGAGTGTGGAGGTGGGGAGGTGGGAGGTGAGGTGGAGGTGGAAGTGGGAGGTGGAGTGGGAGGTGAGGTGGAAGGTAGGAGTGGGAGGTGGGATGGTGGGAGGTGGGGAGGTGGAGGAGGAGGTGTGAGGTGGAGGGGAGGTCGAGGTAGGAGGGGAGGTGGAGGTAGGAGGGGGAGATGGATGGAGGTGGAGTGGAGGTGGAGGTAGGAGGGGTGAGGGAGGTAGGAGGGGGAGGTGGAGGTAGGAGGGGAGATGGTGGAGTGGAGGTGGAGGTAGGAGGGGTGAGGTGGGAGGTGGAGGTGGTGGAGGTGGAGGTAGGAGGTGGTGGTGGGGTGGTGAGGTGGGAGGTGGAGTGGGAGGTGGGTGGAGTGGAGGTGGGGTAGGAGGTGGTGAGGTGGAGGAGGAGGTGGGAGGTGGTGTGGAGGTGGAGGTGGGAGTGGAGGTGTGGAGGTAGAGGTGTGGTGAGGTGGTGGAGGTGGAGGTAGAGGTAGAAGGTGGAGGTGGTGGGAGGTGGGAGGAGGTGGAGGTGGGAGGGGAAGGTGGGAGGTGGGTGAGGTGGAAGTGGGAGGTGAAGGAGTACTAGTAGTAATAATAATAATATCAATATCAATAATAGCAGTGTCAATACTGGAAAACTTTGATGCTATTATTATCATTAATTTTGCTGCTGTTATTGTTATAATTAATGTTATAGCGGTTACCGTTCGGGAGGTCGCCGCCCCTTCCATACCGGGCTGTCGTTGTTAGTGTTATTGCTTTTGTTAGCGTCGCGTGAGGGGTTATAGCACAACCCCCGCTTATGCTCATCACTTCTTTAATACCTGCTTTTGTTTTGATTTTTTTTTACTAATTTACTTTATTTTTCGGTCTTTGTCGCATAGCTCTGGGACTGTAACTCGTCTGCGGTCACTGAGTTAAAAAAGGTGTTTTCAGTCTAAAAAAAAAAAGAAAAAATTATGAGGATGATAATATAGGTAAACAATGTACAGTGTGCGTGTTAAAAATAATCTAAATCAATTATTATAATGCTGATAAATGATAATATTATTACAGTGATGATAAATAATGATAGGTAAAAAATATAAGCGTGATAACACTGACCGTATGCAGGTAAGCATGTGTGTATTTAATCATAGCTATTTATATACTGTATCTATGTATATTTTATAGACGCAGGTTTTATCTCAATATTTTAAATATTCGTAAAAGAAGATTGATCACTTTTATAACTTTTTAGCTGCAGTTACAATCACGGATAGTGTGATTAAGGAGAAATAACTAGTTCTGTCTAGTTTAGAGTTTATATCTTACTATTACAACCCCCCCCCCCCACTCACACACATTTTTTATCAGTTACTTAGATGCACTGGAATTTAGCCAGATATTACCGGTTTGCGTAATATATGAGAGTAAAAAGTAAAATTGAGTTAATTTATGCACATTTCAAAGGGGCGGGAATATGCTTGGTTTATTGATAATTTAAAAAGGGAGGATTTTTTTTTTTTTTTTTATAACGGTAGGGAATAGAATTAATTCGAGATTAAGTTGATAAACATGTGAGAAGGGAAAATACTTGGAATTTCTTTTTTCTTATTATAACGTATTATTAACGTTATACACTTGAAAAGAAAAGGTGAAATGAACTCGGGAACCCTCAGAGACGCGAACCACTGCTGTCTTTTAAGCCTAAACGTCCTCCTAATCTACGTAACACACACACACACGCACATGCACACGCACACGTACACGACACGCACACTACACGTACACACACACGCACGCTCTCTCTCTCTCTCTCTCTCTCTCTCTCTCTCTCTCTCTCTCTCTCTCTCTCTCTCTCTCTCTCTCTCTCTCTCTCTCTCTCTCTCTTCTCTCTCTCTCTCTCTCTCTCTCTAATTCTGTCATTAAACTCTACTCATGTACCACTCTTGAACATAAATCCACTCCTTGTTTTCCCGCCATCTGCTTCTCTTCCCTGGGTCTTCGCTAAAACCGCATCGAAGTGGTTCTTTGGTCCCAGAAGATTATATCGCGATCCATCCGTAATGTTTCACGTGCAATTTCAGCGACAGACCGAAAAACCGACATATAAACAATGGAACAAATGAATGAAGAGCCAACATATGAGGAAATAAAGGGAGGGAGTCAGTAAATAGGGCGATCATAGCGGACCACCAACAGGGAATAGATTGCAGCGTATTTGCACATAACCTTAGCTTTTGACGGAGGTAATAATACAAAGGTCAAGGTCAATTGATTTATATTTTATTCGAGGAAATTTTTGATTTTACAACAGCTGTCGATTTTTATTTACATTATATCATCATTTATTTATCTTTGTTGTATAATGTGTTATCTTAAGGATTTAATATCGAGTACAGCAAGCACCACATCATGATATACTCTATTCCTAATTTTTTGTTCACTACAGCATTTTCTTAATTGTTGAAATTGCCATTAACGTGATATTACTCTTACCGTTCCTGACAATAGATTTATCCTTTTTATTCAAGTGATCTCTTGCCCATTGCTGTTAAGATCATAATCATTAAGATTATCATCATTTATTATCATCATTAAGATTATCATCATTTATTTATCATCATCATCATTATTATCATCATTTAAGATATCATCATTTATATCATCATTAAGATTATCATCATTTATTATCATTTATTATATCATTTATTATCATTAAGATTATCATCATTATTATCATCATTTATTATCATCTCATTTTATCATCATTTATTATCATCATTAAGATTATCATCATTTTCTTCCTTCTTCATTTCCATTTATCTCTCCAGGCCTGCTCTTCGGGTTCCCCCAGCAGCGTGGAGCTCAGCGAGGGCGGGGTGGACGTCCTGGTGGAGCGAATGAGGTCCATTTCGCTCGTCCAGTCCGACTTCAACGCCATCTCGGAGGAACAGACCAGAGTCAGGTGGGCTGGGGTGGTGGGTGGTGGTGGGTCTGGGATGATGGGATGGGTGTGTCGCGAGAGAGAGAGAGAGAGGGGGGGGTGGGTACATGTATCGCGTACATGTACACTCAAACATATGTGTCTAGGTCTATGTGAGTACTTATGTAGACCTTGTGCCGACGGTACACGCACACGTCGCATGAGAGCCACGATAACACACGCACATACGCATACACGGTCATACCCGTATGCACACACGCACACGCACACGCACACGCACGCACACGCACACGCACACGAGCACACGCATATTCATACACTCACTTCCTCAATCACTCACAAAAAAGGAAATGCTGGAGGAATGGCTTATGCCACAACACCCCATATTAGACTTGAATGTTTCATTAACTGGTGTTTTGTGTTAACTGATATACCTTGGTGTTCATTAAATATTTTCTACATTTTTGGCTATAAGTGGATTTTCTGCTTCTCAGCTAAAATTATCATTATAATTTTGAATACTTGCGAAAATTTCTTATAAAGTGATTTCCAAATTTAGGAATGTGATTGCTTATGAATTATGAAGTCAGATTTTCATAATTCATTTCATAATGAAATGTTTTAGATTAATCACATTATTATTGTCCTTGATGTTCAGTATTTCTCTCTCGTTTCAAGCACTGCAATATTCGCTTCATGCAGTCTTTTTTATATACTTTTTTAGTGGTTCACTTAGAATTACTTGTGATTCTGCATTTATACAATTTTCAGAGCATTGTATAGAAATCTTTACAACAATATGGTTACGTTGATAGTTTTAGAAAGCTAAAAGAAGAAAAAAAGGCTGCCAACATATCAGGTTAATTTCAAAGATGTACAATTAAATTTTCATACAGTCTTTACAGAGCACTGCATAAGAAAACTTTCCTAATAACTCATTTCCCACCTACAGTTTTGAGAAGCTGAAAAAACAGGCTGCCAACATATCAAGTCCAAACGTCGATGGTGCGGAAGTCTGCAAATCTCGGTACAGCCACCTGTCCCCCAATCCGGAATTCATTTATGTTGACTTCCACAAGAGAGGAGAGAAGTCACCTGTACCCACTATCAAATCACAGGTTAATTTGTCTTTTTATTTTTACATTTTTTTTATTTGTCTTTTTACTTTTACATGTTTGATTTTTTTATAGGTCACACAAGATGCATGATTGAGAATATGATGGCTATGTTAACAGACAGATTAGTCAGCGGCTAAAGAGGAACTTCATGTTCCCTGAAGTAGTCATTTGCTTCCCTACGAGTTTATAGGTTTACACTTACACTTGGTATTTGATGGTGCACCTAAAACTAATGAAAAGTTTATACTTATCCCTTAGAATGATTCCATGCCAATTTTTTGTGACAGCATGATGTTTTTTTCTTATTAATTAGTTGCAGTTGTAGTTGTAAAAAGTTACTACCAGGGAGTGAGAATTTTTTCTATTGTTACTTGCTTTAAAAGTCACCATGATTTATAGATCTGTAAATTAATATTACATAATATAAGAGAGAGAGTTTTATTAATATAAATTTCTTTAATTATGTATTTTTTCTTATATATCATGTGCAGATTATGTAAGTCAACAGACTGTTTCTCCCAAGTGATATGTACATGATACTGAAACCCCATTGTCTTTTCCAGGACTGTTCATGGGAAGAACATGGTTTCTCCCTCGTCAGTGAACTTTACAGTGAAGTAGCTGATATATTAGACAACAAGTTCAAGACTGCATATAACATGACTTATTACACCTGCGGCCACAAAACACACGTGGACACTTTTCTTTTCCGTCAAGCTGTGTGGAATTACCTTCACTGTTTATATGGCATAAGGTATGTAATCAAGGCAGATATGATAAATCTAGCATGCATATAGCAGCATTTGTTGCAGTCCGAGATGAATGATATACAATGTTTATGAGAATTTGTGGATGTATATTTTGTTTTGAGTCATTCAAAAAGTTTTTTAGCATACATTGTACACCATGAGGATGGCCAAATTTCTTTACCTTCTGAATGCAGTTATATGTACCGTCTGTTGTAAATTTGGTAACACAGATAACTCCACAAGTGCTCAGCCACCAAGGAGAGTCTATAAGTAGCCCAGCATGACCTTACCTGATGTCCCCATTTCATTATTGCTCATTTTTTTTTCCTGTTGCTGTTAAAATAGATTGTTATTATTGTCATTATGACTATAGTAGCATAATACTATTAGCAATGAAAGAAAGATATTTCTGAAGATTAAGGAAAAGGGTAAATAAGTAAGTTTGGTGTTAGTAATTACCTCCTTGGTGACTAAGTATATATGACATGCCATGTATGCCATGTCATCCCAGTACAAAGGGTCAGTTACACAGTTGTTCTTTTGACAAGTCTTTTTGTCTCTCCTAAAATACAGAAGATTTCTTTATTTTAGTTATTACCAAAGGGTTATAGAAGAAATATATTTTTCCTTTTGATATCAAATACTAGAAATATGATATTTTTCTTTTCAGAATATATATATTTTTTCTGTTATTGATTCATATCTCTAGAGAAGCTAGTATATCAGGCCATCATGGAGTTGTTTTGATAGATTATTTGTTTGTTGATAGACATTTAGAGTTAGCTTTTGGCTAAGTTGAGAGATGTGTCCCACTTTGTGATGTAGGAAAAACCTGCTAATTATTTTACAAGAATATGTAATATCAACTCGGCAATCCTTAAAATAAGTCTGTGAAACTTTTTACTCTAACCACTTTAAGAAGATGACCCAGAATATAATTTTGTCACAGGTTTTAGAGTTTGTGGGGCAATCCCCTGGTTTATCTATATGATATCACCAACCCTGCCAGCATCCAACTCCTGTTTTTAGGGAAATATAACAAAGATGACCTCTTTCCAAACAGACACGATGACTATGACTACAGCCAGATCAATCAGCTGCTGGAGAGGAACCTAAAGATGTTCCTCAAGACAGTCACTTGCTTTCCTGAGAGATTATCTTCCTTAGAGGCGTCTCCTTTCATCATGAAGGGCTTCCTTAACAGTGAAAAGGTCAGTGATAGGATTTTGTCCTTGATAGAAGTTTTGGGCTCGGTAAGTTGTTAGGATGATGATATTTCCTGCTTTATGTGGTATGGATTTTTTTTTATTATGTCAGCATCTTTGTTATTAGTATCATTGTTGTCTTTTTCTGTTTCTGACTCATATGTCTCTCCTCTTTTCCCCATGTTTACATCATTCTTTAGATACTTTTTGCTTTTTTAATTATTATTTTTTCATCATTATGGTTATTACAAAGTAAAGGGTCCTATTTTTTATGGTCTTTTACTTTATTGCCTTTCTGATTTTGGCATCTACCCTTCCTGCTTAGCTACTTCATCCTAATTCTCTGCTATTTCTTTTTTTTCATCTCTTTATCAAAGTCTCCAACAAGTACTATTATACAGAGCTCAAAGAATCCAATTCTTCATATTAAATCAGCTATCTGTGGTCTCAGTTGAAAGTTATCCAAAGTGTGCATTTGTTCAAAGTTGATTTACCCAGTCTTGTATGCTTTTTCACAGTTCAGTCTTACAGGAAATGCAACACCAGACAATAGCAATACAACCCTCCTCCCTTTTGTCACAGGTTCATGTGATGGTCCTGGTGTTGGAAGGTCGCTTACAAGCAGAGCTACTCCATGGGTTGCGAGCGCTAGGCCACTATCTAATGTGAGCCCCTGGGATGTTGAAGAAGCTGTGATGTGACATTGCCTTGGGTAAACTTTCTAGTTATATACCCATGAGGGAAGTGAGAACCTGCACCAGAGCAGTACCTTCAGTTTGGTGAAGGCACGCTTTTAGCAAGTGTGAAGGGAAAATTATTGTTATCTCAAATTGTAGAGAACTAGTTGTATGACTACTAGTTACTGGTCTTCTGCATTTCGATAGGGGAAAAGATATAGTCTCATGTACCACATTGGTATTATTGTCTGCATTGAAATATGCACAGTATGAAACTGATATTTGGAACTTTTTTCTTTTAAAATCAGCAGACACTGAATCAGTTTACTGGATTTCTTTATTTTATTCTATTTTATTATTATTGTAATTATTATTTTTCGAAATTGTTTATTGATAAGATCTGGCAAGAAAGATTGCATAGCAAGACCAACAGGTAAATTTTCCCATTTTCCCTTTTACTGTTTCTTGTCAAATGAAGATGAACCTCAGCTGTTTCAGAGATCTGCTGTTATTTTGGAAAATGTCTGTATATAATTATCTATTTGGCATCTTTTAGATGGATTTAACTTAGATATGTATGATATCCTTTGCTATGAGATGTGAATGTTGCATAGTATAATGCATAATCCAGTGGCTTTGCAGTATTGTTTGAAAGGACTGTATTTACATGCTTATAAACCATTGTGATTCATTGCTGTGAGAAGTTTTGTGGGGACAATTGATAGTTTTTTGCCCTTTAAATTACATGCCAATTTTTGAAGCATCAGACTTTAAGGATATATGTTATAATTTTTTTTTTCACTTGTAGTTTCAATTTTTAAAGAACCCAAGGAGATTTTAAGATTTTCTTTAGTTAATGATAGATGGTTTTCCAAAGTCTATTGATCATTTTATCATAGGTGACACAATATTGTGGGGTTGTCAGAAGTAGTACCAAGTAATGTAAAATGAGAAAAAAAAAAAATATTTCACATGATCATGCACTTTTGCAGCTGATACTTATTAACATAGTTGAGTTTACATAATGAATTTTGGTGCCCAAGGCAATCCACTATATTACATGAAAAAGAGAATGTGTCATAACATTTTAGAGAATGTATTTCTTTATTGATATACATATATTACTTTCTGGTTACAAAACAGTTCAGTTGCCATTATTCATTTGTGCAGAATAAACAATCAATAGCAGCAACAGCCAATACAGTCTGATTATTTGATAGCTATTATTCATGAACAATGTCTTACTTGAGCTCTTTGAGCAGTCACAAGTCTTTCATATGTTTCACTTATTTACTGAATGATCTTCTCAAAGGTTTGTTTTTTAGAATGTTCTTAAGAGCATAATTTACTGAATAGTTGCATTTTAGTAATGTGTGGCAAAGACCCAACAGTATGAAGAATAACTAGATTTTTTTCATGAGCTGAAAACAACTAAAGCAAGTTTGAATTATATCTTAACATTGCTATAATAACTATGTACCTATAATATAAGATTCATACTCTTTACCATGCAAACTACAAGGCTGTGTATAGTAATTTTCAAAAAAAATATTTGATTGAAAGATAAAAGCAGTTTTGGGTATTAGATATGGTAGCAAGTCAAAAGTTAACACGGGCCATCCTTTTGTTATGAAATGAATGGTTTATAAGCATGTAGATTTGGTATTCACAGAAGACGACAACCAATGTTAAGGGTTTCTTAGAGCAGAAACCTAAACTACAAGTTCTTGTTGCACTCTTGAGAATATTGATTATTAAATCAAATCATCAAGAGTATTTTTTTTCTCTGTTCTTTTCTTTTCTTCAACATTTAATGTAATTTGTAAATATTTCTGCTGTAGATAGAATATTGGCTACTGTCAAATTTTGAGTCTTACCAAGTGCATTCTCAGCAAAATAAGAATATAACTGAAAACTGCCTTCCATTCAAATGAATATAATTATTTTATGCTGTGAGTATATTAGATGCACTTCTGTTGTAAATCAGTATGTATATAAACGTATATGTAATATTAGATATTGTTAAAGTATGTTGAATATAAGATCTGACTACACAATGGCTGAAAGAGATGGAAAATTGTGTCAATTATTATATGAAATGGTTATTCTGATTTTTCTGTTCTTCACTTGATAGGCACTGTACAGATTATGGCAAGGACATCAGTATTGATTTTAAAATAGGTCCCATGCTGTGATCTAATCTTTCCAAATAGGCATGAAAACAGAGCACAGAAAAAGAGAGAAACTTTTTTATCCAAGATATATGTGAATAATGAAATTCAGGAGGAAAGTCTTTATTGAAAATGGGTTTTGCCATTTGTTTTTCTTGTGTTATTTAGCTTGCTATGAAGATGAAGCTGTTCAGGTAAGCCAGACCAATATATCTGATTGGCTGAGCAATTTTTGCACATAGCTTAGAACATATTTTTGCAGGGTAAGTGAAGGATTTTATAAAGAAATTAAGAGACAGTCATGCACAGTTACAGTTTGTTTGTTTGTTTCTTCACTTTGTTTTACATACAGACATCAGAAAATGGGATGAGTAGAAAAATTGTTTTCGTAAGGATTTTTTTTTTTTAACTTAAGCAGCTGATTTGTGCTTTAAGTTCTATTTTTCTTTTGGATTAGTAAGCTTTTTCAGCCTTGTGATAAATAATGGTAGTATGGTTTGTTTAATATCTCCAATCTTTACTTGTAGGTAGTTAGTGATAAGTCTTCTGTTCGAGGTTATGTTAATTAAACCAATCAGTTTTATTGCTCAAAGACGAAGGTGACCGGCTGGTAGTTTATATGCCCCCCACCCCCACCCCCTGCCAAAAAATATACAAATAAAAATATCTCCATTTGCCAGTCATGGTGCTTATAAGTGAACATACGTTTGTGTTGAGTATCTTTAGGTTCATGTTCATGTTGTGAGGTCGAATGCTTGGGATTTAAAATGTCCCCGATTCCTACTAGTGTGTGATAAGATTTGTGAATAGTTTTAATCAATCTTTTTCAACATCTTGTCAGTGTCAGAATTTGTTTCTGGTTAAAGAGTTTTCATTTAGTAACAGGTACTATTTTTATTCAGTTGTCATCATTATGATTTTGTAGTTTAATAAATAAAATTAAAGGAATTTTAATTAGAACTGTTCTTTGTTAAGAGGCAAAGGTATTTCTTTTCTTTTTCTTCAAAGCAGGAGTAGGATAGTCAGAATATATATTGAAAAAATATATAGATATACTTTCTTTCATTTCATTTTCTTAGGATACTTCATATATCATTTTCAACATGTAGTTTGTGAACTGTTTACCTCATTTTTCATTTTTACATTTGTCAAAATTTCACATTTCACTTGTACATTTTTTCATGTTTTATCAAGTTACCAACTTACATAAGCTCTCTATGAAACACTCTGTTAAGTTTTTTCATGTTTTTTTTTTTTCCCTCTTGATTCTTTTTATTCATTTGACAACTCCAGAAGACCACTGGCTCAAAATTCCTTCTGTGCTATGTTATGTCTGTAAGGTTGCATGTTTGTATGTTTGTATCTTAATTTTTAAGGTTACCAATGTCTTCTTATCTTAGATTTTGATTTAGAAATGCGAGGAGATAATTTAGCTTCGTGTAGGCTGTGATACCACTGTTGTTTTGTCACATCCTTTGGATTCTGTTAGATATTTTTGATAAATTGAGACATGAAAGAGATATTGGTAATTCTGATCATTTGGTTTCATCTGCGGGTTGTTCTGAAGTCCTCAGGGTGATGCTCCATTACCAGTCATGTTCACTTGAATGTCATGTATATCATTTGTCCTTGTGTTGCTCAAACATTTTCCTTTTTTCTGTTGCAAATGGTTGTATTTGTAATTTCTAAGATTTGTATCAAGCTCAGACAGTGTGATGTTTTCCTAAAAAGATTGTCAGTATCGTCTATTTCAGAAAAGTATTGGTACAGAAGAATTTGGAACTAAATGTTTGTACACAACTTGTTTAGTGATTGGAGTAGTGTATTTGTTTGATGTTTGACTGAGTGTACACTGAAAAGGGTAATATGCTCAACTACCCATGTTCCCTAATTAGTCAATATGTAATTATCTCACAGTGCTTTAGAACAATATAGTTTTTTCTTGTTATGAAATTAGTGACAAGGTCTGAGCTTTGCAAAACCTCTGCCAACTTAGCTATCTCATCCTTTGCATTTATATGTGTAACAGATTATTACTTCCTAATCAGTTTCTGAAATTTTGGGAGATTATTAGAGATTCTTTCTTAATTTTTTATTTTCAAAGTCATGATATGGCACATACTGCCTCTGCAACTAGTCATGTACTACTAGTTTTCCTACTATTTCTGTTAATGTGCTACAATTAGAACTAGGCTGCTATCTCCAATGCCTCTATTACTATGACTGTCATTGACACAATATTGATGATGAGAATAGTCATATTAATAGAAATATTTCTATTAATGTTATTTTTTAATTGATATTATCCACATGATTTTCATTATTTTCTTATTGCAATTATTTTTTATGGTAATTTAAAAATATATGTTTTTTTAGTTTCATTCTTATTATCTTTATTGCACTGCTTAGCTACTACTACTAATTATTATTATCACAACTACTACTAGTAATTAAAGAATCATAAAATATAATAATATCCATCTAAATTGTTAGGGATTATAAGAGAACTAGGTTGTTGAGAACATTTGTGCCCAAGGAATAGAAGTACTTAATGCTGAATCTAATTTGTCATTGCATTTCATAGATTAAAAGAAGAAAAATGGCGTTGAAATTGAATCTTGAAAGTACTTATGTTGCCCCAGTTTGTTAATAGAAGGAGTATTGCACAGATAAGGAGTTTCTGTTGAAGGCTTAAGTCATTTTACTGTGATTTAAGTTGATTCACAAAAGGATGTTATAAATTTAAGATGGCAGAGGAATTGTGTTTCACTGGTAAGGAAGAAAATAAAATGAGCATCTGGAGTAAGGAAATTGTTTAGGGAAACCATTCAAATGTAATTTAATTTGTAAAATGTGAGAGAGGCTGCTAAGAGGAATTGTATGTATTTGTGCAGGTCAGTAAGTTGCTAAATAACTAAAATGTACAACATGTGATCACAGGTATTAACCGATTTTGATGATTTCATTTATGATTGATTTTATTGGTGATGACAGGTAGTGTTTTAGAGACGGTAAATGCTGTTCCTTTGGAGTATTGTAATGCACAAACATTTTTTTTTCTCTTTTCCGGTATTTGAGATTGGCACATATTTACTGGTAATAGAGCTGGCTAAATTGACACGGACAATTACCTTTTTCTTAACACTTTTTAGACCGGATAACCTAAAGAATTTTAGAATAAGACAGTTGTTACTGTCTCCATTTTTTAAAAATAGAATAATATATAAGGAGACAGTAATATGAACATTTTACAATAACAATTATAACAGCATTCTTATTACAAATCTTTTTTAGTGTTGATTTAGATCCGTATAATTTAGGATTGTTCAAAAGTTCCATTTATATATTAAAAAACAGCCAAGGTAAGAATATGTTACAAAGAATATCTAGCTGAACTGAAACAAACTTTAAAACTGAAGTATAGTAAAAAGAGAAAAGAAAAGTTATCTGATGATTTTTATTAGCTAAATGTCTTTTAAAGTTACTCAGCTTTGTATACACATGTACTTACAAATATATTATGAAGTACAAAAATAATCAGCTTACTCTCCATTGATTTTGTAAGTGCTTCATGTGTGTCATACTATATTATATTTTGTATATACTGCTAACTGACTTGGCTTAAATAGTTGATAAATATTCTATTATAACAACAATGCTTTCAGCTAACCACACTCGTTATACACATCCTCCACATGACAAAATTTTAGTATTACTTTACTAACGAAACTGTAATACAAAATGTGGATTGAACTTAATTTTGTATTACTTAACGGCATGCATATTCTCCCATTTTGTTGGCTGGCTGTCTGTGATCATTATAATTACTGCTTGATAGTTAAAAAATTGAGGTTTCTCACAATGAAATATGATAGTCAGATAATCTTAGAAGAAAATGTATAGGTTTTTTGAATTGTATGAGACTACTTTGTAGATTGCTTTTGGAATGTTGTACTTGTTCGCTAAGAAACAATATATTTTAATATATGAAAATATATATGCAGAAGGAATATGAATAAAACTATTTCTATGGAAAAAGGAGTTTAGATTATCCATTTGGTAAATATGTTGTACCAAGACCACACAGCTAACCTGAAAGGTATAAAGTCTTCTCCGAGTATACTGTGTTCTGGGAGAGGCACCAGCCCCCCTTGCAATCTGATCGGCCACCCCTTGTCCCACCCCAATGGTCACTGACTTCAATCATTGCGTAAAGTTCTTTACCGATGCTGTATGTTAAGACGGAAGCATAACTGAAACCTTATTTGATTAGACTATTTAAGAACTCATGAAGGCTTTTATTTTAGGAAAAGAGGGAAGTGGCTCCTCTTAGTTAAACCAAATTACTACACAGAAGAACACTGCT